ATCCCAAGTTTTATCTGTTTTCCACAAACCTTGGAAGAATAATTTTCGGGGCAAATTAGCGGGTACTAAAAATCCAAGAGGGTCAAAAGAGCTAGCTAAAGATTTTAAGACACTTCTTTTTGTCCATTTTGTTTCTTTTATTTCTTTCAGTTCAATTAAAAGAGTGTCTTTTTCTAAATTCCAATTGAGACCCAAAAGTTTTATAGGGTTCTTTTGCTCTTTATCTCCAAATGTTTTATTTATTTCAGATAAATTACTACAAATTTCATGCAAATTCATTTTTGCCTCTTCAAATATTTTGGATACTTTTTGGCACTTTTGTTTCGCCTCCTTTTCATTTTCGGCACAAAGAAATACATTATCCGCATAAATGCCTCTTTTTAATTCAATACTCAATGGGGAATTCAAATTTTCAATGTGGTAATTAATTACAGCTGCTAATAAATATGGAGCTGCGATTACCCCGAAGGGCATCCTTGCGAATCTCCATTTAACAATATTTTCATAAGTTGGGGGTGCCTTTATGTCATTAATCCATAAAAATCGTGTTAAATCACGTTGAGCTTCATTGATTGCTATTTGATGGAACGCCCCCTTTACGTCAGCCGCAATCAAATTTTTAAAGGTTCTAAGTCTTAAAAGCATTCCACAAATATCAGGCAATAAGACTGGACCCCTCAAAATTATTTTATTTAAACTCAATCCATCCTTTGTCCTACAAGAAGCGTCAAAAACAATTCTTACTTTCTTCTTTTCTTCATTTATGACGCAATGGTGGGGTATATAATGAGCTATCTCACTTTCTTTCTCACATTTTTCTATAATACAATTTTTAGCCTGTTCAACAAATAATTGATTATATTTTTCTAATATTTCAGGATTTTTATTTAATTTATTCCAAACCCCTTGTAATCGTTTCATTGATATCCAAAAATTGTCAGCTAAAGTTTGATTTTCTTTAATGGGCCAGGAAACAATATATCGACCATTGTTTTCCCTTTTTATATTTGATTTAAAATGTTCAATAGCAAATTTATCGTCTTCAGTTTCCTTTTTTATATCAATGCCTAATCCCTCTAATTCCCACCAAAGGTCTGTATTTACCATTTGACAAATTTTTGGATTTTCAGAGCCTTTTGAAATTTTTCCCTTTCCATAAATTATATTTCCAATTTTTGTATCAACAGTTAAAAATCCAGATTTTAATTGTTTATTTCCAAAAATTAATCCGTAATAATCGGCACCTATTAATATTTCGGGTTTTACCGTTTCGAATTGCCCAATGTTTATTTTTGACATTTGGTCAATTCTATTATTTATTTTAATTTTTTCTAAAAATTCGACCATGTCATTAGTGCCTCTAACAATCATATTTATTTTGTCATTATTTAAACAAATTAAATCAATAATATAAATAGGCGCATTAACAGTTATTGTTTTATTGAAAAGTCCAATTCCTCTAAATTCTTTATGACCAATGGGTTTCAATCCAAGTTTTACCGCAGTTGAATTATGTAAGAGGGTGATCTCGCATCCAGAATCGAAAAATGCTTCCACATTTAAAAACTTCTTCTTTGTGGGATTTTTTATTTTTACTTGTGCGACCTGTAAAAGTGTCTTTTCATTATTGTTTTCTTTAATTTCTTTTTTATTTGCAAAATTTTGTATTAATATGTCATTTTCGTTTTCAGAATTATCAGAATTTTCCCTGACGGCCAGACACATTTGTTTTCTTTTATTGAAATCATTCCCAAATTTTTCAAAATTTTTTATGGGACTTGGTTTTTGTTGCCCTTTTGTATATAAATTATGACAAAAAACAGAAATATGGCCATTTTTCTTGCAATTAAAACAAAATGTATTGGCCTTACAATCTATAGAGCGATGATTATTTCTTAAACATTTAAAACAAATTTTTAGCTCTTTTATTCTTTTTATTCTCTCCTCTTTAGTTTTATATTTCTCACATTTATCTTCCCAATGAGAGAGAGAACAGAATTTACATGCGTGCTTATGCTCTTTTTGGAACGCATACATAGCTGTTCCTTTGAATTTTTTATAGGGTTCTCTATTATTATATTTTTCAGGCTCTCTATTTTTATATTTTTCAGGCTCTCTATTTTCTTTTTTCTGATAGGGCCTTTCATTTAATTCTGAACCGAAATCTTTATGAAGCATGTGCACGTCTTCTTCTAATTTTAAATATTCATCTAAAAATTTTAATAATTTTTCTAAAGACCATAGTGGGTCTATTCTTTTTCTCTTAAATATTTCAGTCAGTATCTTTTTGGGCATTTTTGATTCCACCTCTAAAATTAGCTGTTGGTGCTCAGTATTTTCGCCCATTAATTTTAACTGATTTATAATTGCCTCAATTTTTCTTAAAGTTTTTCTAATTTCGGGCACAAATTGGTTCGCCCTGGGCAATTTTCTTAATTCAGAATGCAGGCTGCTTCTGATTGTTATTTTATCCCCAAATCTATTTTTTAGGAGATCTAAAACGAGCTTGTAATTACCCGCTTCCAACGGATATGGCTCGACAATTTCTAGGGCTTCATTTCTCAAGGCACTTTTTAAATACTGCATTTTCCTTTTATCAGGAATTGGCTGCTCATCTACTGCCGCTTTAAATTCTTCGAAGAAACTTTGCCAATTTTTAGTATCCCCCGAAAATTCTGGCAGTTTTATTTCTGGCAATTTGACATTCATTTCATTTGCCTGACTTTGTGCCTGCCCTGTATTATTATTTAAAATTTCTTCTAAAATATACTCATTTTCATTTAGGGCCTCAATAATTTCCCGAGCTTCTTCCATAATAGTTAGATAACCCTCGGGCCCATTTGCGAAATTTTTATATTCATTCTTTTCCTCTATTTTTTCTTCTCTGTCTAAAGTAGGGAAAAGATTTACATAATTGACTGTCTGGCCGTCTAAATCATTTAATAAATTACTAATTTTCTTTTTAGTTAAAGTTATATATTTTATCATTCTTTTGGCCGTTAAAATTTTTTCTTCCATACCTAAATCAGCAGCAATTCTAAAATCGGCGTCTGTAGCCGCTGTATTGTATCTGATGAGGCGCTCTTTCAGCCCATTGATTGCCTCTTGTATTACTCCTGACATATCCCCTTTGGAAAGATTGCCTACTGTAAAATGTCCTTGGACCTCGGTAAATGTGACCTCTATAAGCTTGTTGTTGACCACGGAAGGTTTGTTGGCCTCTCACAAATCGGTAGTTTCTGCGGTGTTGTCTAAAATTCCTATGCTGCCCACGAAAATTTCTTTGATTTCTTGGTCGTCGGTAGTTCTGTTGCCTCTGATTTTGTTGCCAATGCCTCCAATAACGTCGGGGCTGTTGGTAATTTTGTCTATTATTTAATTGGACGCTGCTTCCTTGCTGTTGAGCGTTTGGAGCAGGTTGAGGCTGTATTTGAATAATTAAAGGTTGTGAATTAGCAGCTTGTTGTATTTGAGCCGGCTGTAATTCGCTTGGTTTTTGCCGAGCAACCTTTAAACTTCTATTTAATAAATTTTGAGCTACCCGATTTCTATTTAATAAAACTTTCCTTTGAATTGATGTCTTTGGTTGTTGATTTGGGCGCGAAGAAACACGTTGTGCGATTCCAACACGTTCAAAAATTGAACGCTCCGATGAGCTCAGTTTGAACAATTAGACCGAGTGGCACCAAATGTTAGAAACAATATCTTTTAATTATTTCTAGCCCTTCTAAATTTATCCAAAAAAGGAATATTTCTTTATTAATATTTATTCAATTTAATAATAATTTTACAATTAGGCTTAAGGGGATTATTGGGGAATTTAAAAGTGAATTGAAGCTGAAGCTAAAATAACAGAAATAGCTGAGTTTAAATAAACAGGGAAATGACAAAAATGATTAAGAATGTTAAATAAAAATAAAGTTTAAGAAATTGCATGAATAAGAAAATATATTTGAAAAGGACATTTTTGGATTTAAAAATAAAGAATTAATCATATAAAATAAATCACACATATTTTGATTGTAATTTAACATTATTTCTAACAATTGCTATTCTATGTCTTGAATTTTTCAATAGATTTTTATCTAAATCAGAAATTGTCTTGAACATTTTGAACACACATTTTTCCTCTTTTGCTTTTTTAATTTTAACGTAGAATTGAAACATCCATCATAATTCGCATTGAAGAAAATAATAAAATAATTTCCTGGATTTTCAAATTTTAAACAAATTTCAATGTGAGAATATTCCATTTTCTCTCCATGTTTTTTGTCATTTATTGAGGTTGACTCAATTAAATTAGTTTTGCTAAAATTTTCTCTTTTTAAGACTTTTCTAGGCCTTTCAGGATTAAATAAACATATTAATCTTGTTAATTTATAATTGTTTTGCGGTTTCTGTAGTAATATTGAGTTTATTCCGTTCATTTTTATTATTATTTTCGAATAAAATGATCCAGGTTCTATTCTCTCATTTGACAGTTTATTTATCTCCAAATCTAATTGTTCAGGAAACATAGGTAATAACGATATTAATATCTAAAATTGAAATAAAGTGTTGAATCCGGACACATCACGATCCATGTTGAATCCGGACCCCGGTTTGAAAATCAATGGATAATATTATTTTAGGGATTCATGTAGATTAAAGACATACCGAGTGATAATAGGAATGAGACGGATATCAAGGGATTAAGCGGGATTTGGGTCGGTTATAGTGATAGGGTGTACATATTAGGAATAAAATCTGGGAAATTCTGAAGATTAATTAGGATATCGTCGGATTAGGTATATTGGCAAAAGGTGATCATGAGATCCGTTGCTCCATCCCTCTCTTTTCGCGCCGTTGGCTTAAATTTTGAGAAGTTCTGAAGCTCGAGTAATCTCTTGAGTAATCCGAGTATTATGATTTCGAGTTCCGAGTCGAGTAATTACGCAAAAACCCCGAGCGGTCGTTCGAGTAATTCGAACTCGCTCGAACTCGACTTACTCTAATATATATCTACTCATATCTTCTCTCTCACAATAACCTACTGTATTTCCTCTATTCGAGTGCCATGGCATTTTATTTTTCAATCAACTTCAAAGGTGGCATTCTACATATTAGAGAGTGGCATTCTAATAGAGGAGTTAGGGTATATTTTTTGGTCCGATTGTACTTGTTTGTTAGTGGTCCGACTGTACTTGTTTACCTTTCTATCTTCAAAGCAAATATTAATTCCTGTTATTTCTGGATTTATGAACAAATCCTCAATCAAAATTAATTTTTTCCCTTTATTTCCATCAATTATACTTTTTATTTTGTGTGTAGTTTCGGTAATTCTACTACATTTGTATGAATAAGAACTTGTATAAATGTAATCTTTTTCATATTTTTCATCAATTTCGTATAAAATTTCAATTTTATAAAAGCCAGTCCCTTCTTCAATTTTATTTACTTCCATTCTCAACAAATTTATTTTAACACTTCCATCCTCGTTTTTATTATTTTCTGTAGATTTAACCAAAATTCGTTGATTATTTTTTATATAATCAGAAAAAGAATATTCAAAAAATAATAAAAATAATATTTTAAAAATAAATAAAAATTTAATTAAAAACATTTTTTAAACTTTAATTTTAATTTTAGTTGATAGTTTTACCTGTTTTATATAATACAAATCTTTAAAGGAGAAATTTTTTTGTCAATTAAAAATTATTTTGTAAATGTACTTTTATAAATTATGACAAATTTTATATTTCATAATTGCACTTTAAAGACAATATTAACCTTTGATAAATAGCGATTTTATTTCCTAATTAAGCTATATTACCTATAAAATATTCTCCTCCTTATGTATGCACTTTACAAGTCTTTGAGAAAATATTTTTCCGATAAAAGTTAGCTCTCTATATGTCCACAAAAGGCATTTCTACTTTTACCGGCAAAATATTTTTTCTAAAGTGCATACATAAGGAGGAGAATATTTCATAATATTATTTTATAGGTAAATAAATTTAATAATAAATAAAATCGCTATTTATCAAAGGTTAATATTAAAGTGCAATTATGAAAAATAAAATATGTCATAATTTATAAAAGTACAATTATGAAATGATTTTTAATTCAAAACAATTTCTCCTTTAAAAATTTGTATTTATAAAACAGGTAAAACTATCAACTAAAAGCTAAATAAATTTTTTTAAAATGTTTTTAATTAAATATTTATTTATTTCTAAAATATTATTTTTAATATTTTTTAATTATTCTTTTTCTTTTGATTATAAAAATAATCAACGAATTTTGGTTAAATCTACAGAAAATAATAAAAACGAGGATGGAAGTGTTAAAATAAATTTGTTGAGAATGGAAATAAATAAAATTGAAGTAGAAGAAGAATATAAAATTGAAATTTTATACGAAATTGATGAAAAATATGAAAAAGATAGAATTTATACAAGTTCTTTTTCATACAATTGTGATAGCTTTAACGAAACTACACACAAAATAAAAAGTGTAATTAATGGAAATAAAGGGAAAAAATTAATTCTGATTGAGGATTTGTTCATAAATCCAGAAATAAAAAGAATTTATATTTGCTTAGAAAATATTGATTATTATGTGACTAAGGTTGTCGGAAGTTGGAAATCTTCGGATATCGGATCTGGTATCCGAACTCCGATATTTTTAATTTGATAATAAGTAGGGCGTGCCAAAATATGCATGGAAAACCCCAAAATATGCGCATATATGCATATGAACCGAAAAAGGCCTAAATATGCACTAAAATAAACAAAATTTCCCAAAATATGCACTAGATATGCAGCAAAAAACAGTAAAAATGTGCTTCAAAAATTAATATATTTTAATTGAAAACGATAATTTGGTCTTTAAAATAGCAATTTAGAGCAGTTCTAAAAGATTTTACGGACTTAAAATTTATGAAAAAAATTTTTTGAACCAAATTTTTCAGAAATATTTTTCGAAAATATTTCTCCAAAACATTTTCTTTAAAAATTTTTGAAAAAATTTTATATTATGCCAAAAAATAATTTTTAACCTGCAAATTACTCAAAAAATGCCAAAATAGTACAAATTTTGGTAAAAATATGCAAAATTTACCAAAATATGCGGGACACGCCCGAAATGTCGCGCGGCCATAATGTCGCCGAGCCATAACTTGCTTTAAGATTTCCGAATCTTTCCATTTTTTATTAAACGATACCTCTCATCGAGCTAAAGAGATTGGTACCAAAATTGATAAGGGCCAGAAATTTTTTAGCAGGTTATGTCTTGGCGACATTATGGCCGCGCGACATTTCGGGCTGTACCCAAAATATGCACATATATGCAAATATGCACGAAAGTAACGAAATATGCAAAAATATGCATTAAGAACCCGGTCCCTAATGTTCGTACCGATGTAAAAACACCATTTTTGAGTGTTTCAGCACATGGCATATCCGCATACAAAATATGCATTTGCACGTTTTTACGCGCCCTAATAATAAGTCTTTGACAAGAGAAAAAGATGAAATAAATAGAATATATACTCTTCTGTTTATACATCAGGGACTACGGATGGGTTTTAAGAATTTACTTCGAATCGGGTTTCGGGTCGAAAAAAGACCAGATTCGGCTCTCGGGTTTCGGATACCCCTCAAATCCCTGTTTTATATAGAATTTTGAAGTCACTTCATTTCAATTTTAGTTATTAATAACTTTGTTGCCTACGTTCCCTCCACAATTAGATTTGAAGATAAATGAACTGTCAAATGAGAGAATAATAAAAATGAACGGAATAGACTCATTGTTACTACAGAACTCTCATAGCAATAATAAATTGATAAGATTAATATGTTTTTTTAATCCTGAAGAGCCTAGAAAAAATTTAAAAAGAGAAAATTTTAGCAAAGCTAATTTAATTGAGTCAACCTCATTAAAAGGCAAAAAACATGAAGAGAAAATGGAATATTCTCACATTGAAATTTGTTTAAAATTTGAAAATTCGGGCAATTATTTTATTATAGTTTGGAGCAATATTAATATTGGATGGTTTCAATTCTACGTTAAAATTAAAAAAATAAACGAGGAAAAATGTGTATTCAAAATGTTCAAGAAAATTTCTGATTTAGATAAAAATATATTTAAAAATTTGAGACATAATATAACAATCTATGTATCAGAAACAGAGGTAGATGAGACTGAAAATGGCAAAATGAATGTGTATAGCGGAAATTTGTTCAACAACTCTATCGAAGCAGAATTTGTTGCCTCAATAACTCCTTTGCTTATTGATGGAGGTTATGAATTTTACTTGGATAAGGATGGAATCACTAAAGAAAGAATGAAGATTGTTGAGCCGAATTTTAAAAATTGATAAAAGGAAACCATATAAATGAGAAAACATTATTGCGAAATCAGTTAAGGACTTTTATTGGGCCCACCAAAGGAAATCTGTAAAGGACTTTTATGGGTCTACCAAGAACGAAAATTGAAGTATAAACAATTCGTTTCGTTTCGCCGAGCTGAGTTCAAATATGCAAGAATTTTTTGCCTGAGAACAAAATCCAGAAAAACTGACCCTTAAAGATTTGAAAACCCATAGGGGGGACCAAGCTAATTTTTGGGGGCGAAAAATTCGATTTTTCGCCCCAAAAATAAGATTACTTCCCCCTATGTTTGTTTTTTGACTATATTGGGCCTTATAATCCCGGCTCAAAGTTGTTTTCGCTGACTAATTTTGGTGTCATTCGACTCAGCCCGCGAGTTTTATTTTCTATATTTTCGAGTTTTTTCCCGCATCTCCGAGCACTTTCGATTGAATTTAAATTGTCCAAATCTAAAATCGCCCGGTAAAGCAAAGTTAGACCCGGGAATTTCCTGGATTCGTTAATTATACTACATACATAGATACAGCTCAAATTATCTAAATGAGTGCCCCTATCTAACAGCAAAGTCTGACTATTAATAATAAAATTTAGAATGTTTTTAAATTAAATAAATTTTTTAATGAATTGGGATTAATAAAACTTAATTGGGGATAAAAATAAATGTTTTTAAATAAAAAGGAAGAAAATATTTTTTTATTTTATTTTAATAAGTCTGTCTATCTCTGTAGAAAAATAATCCGAATAAATAAAATTTTATTTTTAGAATTTATTTCCCAGACAGAACGGAAAAATATAAATAATTAACAAAATTTAAATAAAAAAGTCAGAAAAAAAAAATTATTTGCCAAGAAAATAAAAAAATGTGTGCAAAAAAGAAAATTTTACTTCCCCTTTAAAAAATAAAAACATATGTACATGACAATAAATAAATAACAAAAAAGAGGTAGTAGGGGGAGAGGGTATTATTATCTGCTTTGTTTTGTTATTATTATTGCTTTTTTCTGCTTTAACTTTGACAAAATAAAAAATAAATTAAATAAAAGTGTGTGTAGTTGATAATAAACAAAAAGAAATTTGTTTATTATTAAACAATAAAATTAAAAAAATATATTTACTTATTCAAACAGGAGATGAAAAATAATTTAAAGCAGGCGAAAATATTGGAAATTTTAAGGTTAAATTTAATTTTTTTAACTAAAAAGTTTATTTGTAAGTACGTACCTCAAATAAGTACATTTTCAATTTCCTAAGTACGAAGGTCGATTTGTAAGTACTGTACTTCCAAAATAAGTAGACATCAGGCCGTCTTGGATTAGAATAAGAGCGTAACTTTAGTAGGATAAAAAATATTTATGTTATAATTAAATTGAAATAATACATATTATACAAATTGATTTTAATAAGATTTTTAATTAACAAAAACAGAATTCAGGATTTTAATAACAAATAATACTTGATTAGAATAAGTAGGCTAATAGATAATTAAACGCAATGTCATTGAATAGACTTTAATAAGGTATAGGCTTTTAATTAGGATATTTACATTATTTTTTAATTATTTTGTAGGGAGAACACGATCGGTTATTAACCAGTACCCATTGATTTAAAATACGCTTCGATTTCAAATAGAGTTTCGGTATCGGCTAATTCACAAAAAATACCGGGTTTCAGTTTTTGGTTTTGTTTCGGTTAATCGGTCGTTTTCAACAAGTACTTTGTTTTAGAAAAATTCAAAAAACATTCTAAACATTCCTTATTTATAAATGGTTGATTTGTTAAATGTTAAATGAATTGGATAAATTAAACAAGGGAAGAAAGAGAAGAGAAAGGAATGCGCATATAAAAAGTTGGGAAGTTATTTGGTAAATGAGTCATCTTTTGTTGTCATTGAATTTTATTAGAGAA